GTACAGAAGATCTGTAGCTTGTACGTACCGCATGTGTGTTTGCTCTATTAACGAAAATTTCAAGGAATATTTCCATGACTTTACAACTGAATTTAGAAGCTTCAAAATATACGGAAAGTTCACAGGAAGGTTTCTATATATGCGTGGTTATGTTTCCTACTAGCATAGCAACACAAAGCAGCACATATTTATCTGTATCTGCATGTACAATATCTCTATGTGCAAGAAATGAATAGTACGATCGTGTTAGTGACAATCGCTTTTACGTTACCGATATTTTTGGAGTTTGTCAACCACTTTAGCATCCCCTTAAGAATAACATTTTCGGTGTAAAGAACTAGAGTATAGGGAGACGTAAAAGCGAAATAAATTATTTTTATTTCTTACTCCAATTTACGCCAAGATTACTTCGCGTGTTGTAGATGAGAAGGTTAAAAGACAACTAAAACCAATAAGAGGCACGTACTGGAGATGTTAGTGCGAATGCTTAAGTCATGGAAGGGAATCGAATAAATCGAAGGAATAAAAAAAAGAAACGCGTAATTGGGATTTTTAAAGGAGGAATTAATTAAAATAATAATAATAATTAGGATTCAGAATTTGTTTGACGTGGAAGATTTGATTTACCGCGCACGTTGTAAAAGCAGAAAAATACTCGACGTGTACGTTTACGCGCTGTCAAACAATATTACCGTTCCATAATTCAATCCTCCCAGTGGTAACCAGAATCATTGAGCCATTTTAAGAAGTGCTCGCTTCTCGGAGGCAGCTGAATTCTGCGCCTTGATTTTGTAAAAAAACATGTTGGTGAAAAAAACTTGCAGTCCGCCAGTCGCTGAGAAAAACGCTTTTCTTATTGAATGCCAAGCAATTCGAGTCGACATGGACGTAAATGACCCGGTTACTATTCGACGTATGCCAAAAGTGTAAGTTCCAGCTTGCCGTTCTTTTTTTATTCGACTATCTCTTACACAAGTACCCTTATAAAAATAATGAAAGAGCTTATTTTTGTTGCGCAGAACGCAATACACTCGTATAGGATGAATATCGACATACAATTTACCAAACTTGTGCAGAATACATTTTTTTTTATTTGTATTACAGTATCTTTTTGTAGTATCTTTAATAATTTTGTATAAAACGATTTTTTAATACTTAGCAAAAGCTTTTTATATATAATTATAAAGAATTTTTATTAAAATTTTTTATTTAACATTTCTATACTAAAAAGACTTAAAAGAATTTATTTGTAAATAATTGTTTTAAATTATGAATTTTTAAATGGTATAGTAGATTTTCACTTATTTTTATTGAAAAAACATTAAAAGTAAAATTAATTAATTAATTAATTAGCAATTTATTTTTCACAAAGCGGCTATGTGGCCTTCGATTAGAAGAATAAAAGAAGTTTCAATAATTTTGAGAAATTTTTTCGAGCACTCTAAGATGGGAGGAATGTCAAGGATGATACAAACGACCCTGGTTACCAGTCCCGAAAATACTTTACCATTCGCACAAACATCCAGCACGCTGTTATTGGTCTTACATTTCTCTTAGTATAGTTGTATGCCAACGGAATTTTCGGAACACAGTTTAGTCATTCCATCAATTTTCGAGACGGAAAACACAAACCAACACCACGTATCGTACAACATCGCGGGGAGTTGTTTTACGCACTGTGCGGGAATTTCGGTCGTTAATCGCGAAGCAACTTTAACAGCAATTACGTGTCGCTACGGAGCTCCCGAGCTTGAGAGGAAGGGAGACAAACAGAGGATTGCCGTGTGCGGAATACATGAATTCCTCGCGGGACTCGTAATTAATATGCATACGCTCCGGGCGGCTATTTCATCCTTTTATCAAACAGTCGCGCGGTGTGCCGCGCGTGTAAAACAATTCGCAACAAGTACACACCCCCGACGAGCGTGACTAGTTTGCAACGCGCACTGCGGAGCACGACAAGTAGACGCGTGCCGGAGTAGGACGCTCTCAATCGTCGGATATGTTAGCAACAATTAATTCGGATACAGCCAGGCGAGCTGTATCTCGTGTCGTCGTGGCACACACATACACACAGGCGCGCTGCGTTTCGCAGCGAAGCGCCTTTCGATCGACTGCACCGCTGCATCTATCCCGTTGACACGGCGCAACGCACTGTAACTTTCGAAAGGAAATGACATTTAACCGCGCGTGTGTCTCACGTGCGTCACGATTCTCGCTCACCTCCGAGCGGCACGTGTCCCCGTGTGCACACCGCGCCAACCCCCTGCACCCCCGTCGCTCTGTGTTCTCGTAGCACACCACCACCGAGAATACACCAGCGCAGTGTCGTCGCGAATATTACGTAATATCGTCGCGCTCGCAGCCAAGTGGACGCGACTTGTGTGCCGCGCGTGATAGGTAAATAAGTAAATAAATAATAATAATAAGAGCGCTTCCGGGCGCCGCGCGAACTCGAGCCGGCCACGCGCTTTCTTTCTCTCTCTTTCCCTCTCTATCACTCTTTCTCTCTGTCTTTCTATTTCTTTTTCTTTCTCTCTCTCTTTCTCTTTCTCTTTATCTCTTCTCTGCCGCTCTTGGTCGGACGAGCGGCGGAGCACCCCCGCAGGATCGCGAGCAAGCTCGGGAACGACCGTGGAAGACTGCTCGATTCACGGCCAAGATAATTCCGCGAAGGGTACGCGGGTGCGCGGGAAAAACGCATGCGTCGATCCGCCCCGCATGGTCGAAGAAGCGAGAGGCACGTAGCACATACGCGCGACACTCGGTCGGTCGCGACTTGTTTTCGGGAAAAACAAGAGCATATATCTGCGCGGAGGGTGAGAGGACGGAGCGAGCGAACAAGAGAAGGGGGTGGCCGACCGACGCGCGTCTTGGCGCGTCTTTTTCCACTGAGGGATCGATCAGGGAGAACTTCGCGAAGCAATTATAGAAGCTACCTCGCACGCTCCATCCGTCACCCCTTCTCTTCTCTCTTTTCCTCTCTCTCTCTCTCTCTCTCTCTCTCTCTCTCTCTACTCGTTGTCTTTCTCTATCTCATCCTCCGGCCTTGAGAGATCACTCCCCACGATCGCTTGAGGCTGCCGTCGATTTCAATGGATCCGCGCTGTCCCGCTCTGCGGAATTCTTTCCTTTCCCGTAATTAATTTAGACGGCTCCGTCGATTGTTCCCGGCGAGTCGTGCTCGAATGAATCCTCCGGCTCCGACGATGCAATCTGGTTACCATCCGCGAGAGAGGGATATCCCGCCTTTTCCGCGAACGCTATTCCTCCTTTTGCTTCTTTCGCGTACTCTACCTATCTACCTACCTCCTTCTCTTCCTCTAACGCGAGAAGAGATAAATTGTCTGGGTAAAGAGAGTATCGTGCTATTCGGGGGATTATTGCGGATTTTAATAGTCTCCGCTTTAAGCCCTTCCTGTAATCCATACATCCTCCGTCGTTATATTATACGTTATATTATGTTACATTCAGCTCACGTGTTCGCCCGTTCCCTTTTGCGCTCGCTATTATTCGTAAATTCATGAATTATAACCCCCATCGAGATCGGCCGCTTAAAGTCGTCTCCTCATTTCCCGGACAGCACAGTTGCTCAGCATAGTCGCGTGTCATAAATAACGTCGTTGTATACCAGAAGGGGATATCTCTTCGATATTCTTCCGAAATTTCATCGGCGACCCATTTTTCTCTGTTTCTCTCTCTTTCCCTCAAATTTACTAGGAATATATTCTGCATACATATTTTTGTATTTGACTATTTCCATTTCTATGTAAACGTTCTTAGAGGACTCGCTTTAGAATCTCACTCTAAATTATCGATGCTATCTATCGCTATACTAGACTATCGAATAGCATAATACACGGAAAAGAAAATACTGCCGAGTCGATAGAACTGGTCAAATAAATCTTTGATTCAATAGCAATCTTGTTGAATCTAATACTCGAGTTATTAAAGCATTATGTAAAGTGTTTATTTTAATGACTTGAGTAAAATATTTTTTGACAACATTGTTATTATATCAAGAAAATTCCAATAGCTCACTGCTAACTAATTCTGTTGATTCAACAGTATTTTTTGCTCGTGTAGTTTGTCCTTTGTTGCCAATGTGAAATCATTTTTATCCCTTTAATTTTTTTTTCAATATATTATAACACTTACCTTGGCATTTTTTATTATTTTTTAGGGGGAAATTACTTTCTAAGGGAAAAATAAAGAAACAGCAATTTTGCAAACATTTTTTCTATTAAATTGTTATTCGAAGTGCAGGTCAAAATGACCATCATTGGCGATCTAGAGCTAAATTATAGATTTATAAATATAGACTGCGCATTCTTATGAAATGACTGAAACCAGGAGTAAGGGACAGAAATATATTGAATATGTTTAAGATGCTTTCTTTATCATACAGTACTATAGAAGGGGCGATACTATAGAGGAAACAATAGAGAAAAAAAAGAGAGAGCGCAATATAATGAAAGAAATAAAGGACGTATTGATCATATGATCGCTTCCTCTCTTTATCGCTCTTCACTAATTAGACAATTAGAATGTTGAAATGTTGAGCGTGAGTCGATTAAAATATTAGTTGACTAAAGTAATCGACAAATCAATCATTAAAATTAATCAATCGTCATCGATTGTAAAATCACGAATAACTTAATCGATGAAAAATTAATTATTAATCAAACTTAATTGATAAAAAATTTATTATTAATCAAACTTTCTTTATTCTGACTAATTATATAGTAATTAACTTCATCAATCCATTGAATTATTCTTGCTTATATATTCAACTATTTATTTTGATTATTGATTTGCTGATTATTTTAGTCAAATAAAAATTGTAATCAAATAGACAAGGAAAGCATCTTACTCTCTATAGTCTTCTAATGCTGAGTCTAGCTCTCCAATAGAAATCTCTCTCTCTCTCTCTCTCTCTCTCTCTCTCTCATATGTAAGGTAATATCCCGTCCGGACACGCCGGAATAAATTTGCTCCAGTGCAGGCATCATCAAGTTTATTCGGCAATAAGTGAATAACAATACAAGCCGCTTTCAATAACCAATTTATTAATAGCCATATTCACCGAACTCGCACGAAGTGTTACACATCCCCGTTCATCCGCATCTCCTAATCATCGTCGAGACACGTTATCTCGTCGAATGTGAGCTTCGACAGCGCCAAGTCGAGCCGCGCGTTTTCAGTTAATCTCTCGCAGAGTAATATGAAGCGACGTGGGTTACGTGATTTGCAACATGCTCAGGCGCGCGGCTCGTTACGGTTGTCGGCGCTTATTAAGAGTTACAATGTTTAGTTTTGAACTTAAGCACTCACCGCATCTCGCCGAATAGCAACCGCGAAGAGAACGTTCTTCTAGCGTTACCTTCCAACTACTTTGCTGAAGATAGCTCTCTCTTTCTCTCTCTCTCTCTCTCTCTCTCTCTCTCTCTCTCTCTCTCTCTCTCTTCTTCTACTTCTTCTTCTCTCTGTGTTTTCCTTCAATTTGATCCTTCATTTCGTTATGTACATCCCCGGTAGCACCCATTCGTAGCGTTCGCGCCCGGATGAATATCATTAATAGGTCTGCTAATTTTAGCTGAACTAGCGCTGCACTGGAACTTCGTTCCTCTTCCTTTTTCGTCGAAGACCTGGCGTCTTCAACTTTAGGTTGTGCACTTGTTTCACTCTCTCTAAATTTCTTGGAAACTTCACTTGATAAATAGAGAGCAACTATCGACTCAAATTCGAGTGATTTTCCACTTATATACAATAAAAAATAAAATGTTAGTTTTAACATTCTTTACATATTCTAGAAAGTATACTTTAATTTTTAGTTAAAAATGATTCATTCGTGTGGTGTGTTACTTATCGATGAGTTACGAATGTTAATTAATTGGCATTCACCATTTTTTTTTCTTACATTTATATTTGTTATGTTGACTTTAAGCTCAATGTAAAATTAATATAAAGAATAGTAAAAAAAAAATACACGGAGGAGTAATTAAAATAACTCGTAAAGGATGTCAATGGGACATTTTTGTTCGTGTTATGTGAACATATGGTATAATGTGAACAATATAATGTGAACATATAATGTGAACAAAGATGAACGCTTATTTTTCATGTTGCATTAATATATGGTATTAATTTCTTTAACTTTACTTATTCGTGATAGAATTTTCTCTTAATAAATTTGGTTATTCTATATGTCAAAGTTTACAGTGATTTGAAGACTCGCTTTTTAATTCTTGTTAATATTAAATTAACTTTAAGAAATGTCATTTTTTTAATAATTAGGTTAAAGGAACTCAAAATAATATTCTATTTTTAAGTGACATATAAAAAACGTTAAGTTATTATGTTGACATTAATGTAACACATTAAAACATCACGAAAATAATAACATATCGTTAGTATGTTAATTTTATATTGAAATAACAGTAAAAAATGGGTAAAATATGGAAATTTTAACACTTGTTAAAGATTTTTGCAAGATTTTTAACTGTGTATAAAGTAAACTCTCCGGTTCTTTTAAGCTCATCGAGTGAATATTTCCATTCGAAATTAAAGTATGAATTTGATGTGCTTCACAATCACAGCAATTTATGCATTCTAATCGATTGAAACATTTGTTCATTTGGAGTCGGAATTTATTCTAAGGCTGTAATAGTTACATTTGCCTCAAATAAGATATTCAAATTTGACTTTGGAGTTAGATGTAAGCTTTTTATTTAAATCGTCTAATATGTGCAACGTCATACTTGTAATCGCGATTCAATCGAAAAATCTAACACTAAATTCAAATCTGCGTATCTCACTTGAGGCGAGTTTCAAGTGACGACTATTAATATCTGCAAGACTTGAGTGAGACATTCGCTCTTGCGGTTTCGAGTGGCATAGTACTTTCGCTATCGCTTCGAGTGAAAATACTGCCACTTTTCACCTATTTTGGGTAAGAGCCCAGGAAATCTAGAGAGCTTTAAAAAGCAAAGAATACAACGTAATTCATCTGAAAAGAGCAGACCTATTATTACGCGGGCACGCGTCCGATTGTCGGAAGAGACAATCGAATCCAAGCGCGATTCGCACCCGTCTTTTCGCCGGAAAATTCGATATAAAAATTATATGTATACATATAAGCATATATATAAAATATGTATAAAATCTAAGAATTATCCGTTACGTTAATTCCTAACGATATACAACGCGACTATTGCACCCGATAGAAGCTCTCGACGATCGCGATGCGTTGCTCTTCCCGTTGCTCGGCGTGTTTCAATCGCGTCTCCGTGAGTTAAATATAAGCGTCTCATTAGTTGCTTTTCTTGTCATAAGCGATTCCCTCTCTTCGAATTTTTACTCGCGATCTTGCAGCGATCTCTTTCTTGTCCTTTTCTTTCCGCTTTGTTTTCTTTCTTCGTGCTCGCAGGAGAGACGTTCCGCGAGACCGGTGAAATTTATCGGCGAAAACTCGGACGTTGATAAGACTTGTTAAGTAATTTCTCACTATGATTTATTACCTCATTAGTCGCGCTTGATATTCCTTTCATGCTCCGCGCACTTTATGTTTTATTCATCGACCTGCGTGCGCGCTTAACGCCGATCGCGATGTTCGTTCCCGATGATTAAAATATGCATAACTTTATTGCGCTGATTTTGATTTACAGTGTCGCATACTGGGGGGAGAGAGTCAAACAACTGCTCTCTCTTTTTCTCACTTTCGCTTTCTCTCTCTCTTTTCTCGTATATCTCTTTACGCATCTCTCTACAAAATTCGCAGAAAATCGTGCGCTTAATGCAAAATCGTGTAACATTAATTCCAAACCTTTGGACGGATTTATCTCGTAAACAAACATTCGGCTCGACAGAAACTCGGGCTATCGATTTTAATTCGTACATGCTTCATTCGCGCATACTCGACAGTGAATTGCGTATATATAACGACAAAAGCAGTCGTTTCTCTTGCCAGTGTTCTCTTAATAGAGTAGTACCCTTATTTATCAAACGTCACAATCAAACGTCACAATATATGAATTATTAGGTTGATGCGAAAAACTCGTCATGTTTGCCGAATAAAACACAAGACGGAATTATCCAATTTCGATTAATAACACTGATCTAGGAAAGGAAACTTTTTTTGGGATGAAATTATGAATGAAATTATGTGATCTATATAGCAATTTTTATCGTCCTACAAGCTAATGAGAAAGCTTAAAGAAATTAATGATTTTCGGCGGACTTTTGATAAGCTACTTCTAAAAGTAGAAAGTGTCGTGTCAGTTTTTGTCGTATTTTGTGCCTAATTAGAGAAAAATCACGTAAAAAGAAGAAAATCATGAATCTTAATAAATTTTTGTTAAAGAAATATTTTTATAGACAAGCAAATTGCTTAAATGGAGGGTTTATAGAAGATACTTGATATTGATGTATAAAAAGTCATTATAAAAAATTTAAAATTATATCAGATTGTGCGAATTGCGTGATATGTCCCATATACAATATATTAAATCTCAGGTGACAGTCACAGAAAATTGTTGGCGATGGAGAAAATCCAAGTTCACTTTCGGATTCTACAAAGAATAAAAGAATACATCAGAAATTCCATGTGATTCCAAAATACATCATTCTATATGACGAATGGCCCCGTCGAGCAGTGTTATTATTACGAATAAAATATTCGGCACTTTGTAGAGATCTCACGAGGATTCGCTATTTCCCCTCTGATATCCAAACTTACCACGAGAATTTAACGGGAAACCGACAACTGTCTCTCGCAGTAACCTGACATAATACACACTGAACAGTGAACAGCGGGATTGCACGGGAATAATTAAGACGGCGTACATTTCGCAAATTTCGAATATCCCGAGTGACACGGCACTGTGATTTTGTGCAGACACGAGTATTGTATTGTGTCGTCATGTCTTACGTCGTTGCGCGCCATTTCGCGTCTCACCGCGCTGAAAACTCGCGAAATTATTCCGAGTCACTCGGCCCGCCGTCGTCGTGTATCCATTAATATTAAAGGGGCGCGCGGGCACATAAAACGCGACGGCGTCATCGTCGTTCGCGTCTGCGAGGTTCTTCTTCCGAGATTGCCGGGGAGCCGCGAACGGGGAGAGAAACTCCGGCGATTACGCGCGCAATCGCATGGGAATTATACGTCGTTATTAACGTGCCGACGTTAATCGACCCGCATCGACGGAAATCGGCAAGCCCCGAATTTCCGTCCCGCGGTTCAGGGTTCAAAGGAGAACGGGCCCTTTCGTGAGCGCCCCTGATGACTGCGTCGTGGATAACGCGCGCGGAGAGAGTTATAGCGAATTCGGTTACTTATACTAGTGCGTACTGAGTGCGCATTAGGGCTTGTTCATAGTATGTTATTATATTTAAAGATTGTCTTAAATAAATTATCAAATATTTTTAACGATAATATGATATGTACAACATCCGTACGAATCATTTTATTAGTTAAAATGTTTTTAAATATGTATTTAAAACACAATCTTAAATATAAGAATGTACTGTAAATAAGTCTTAACGCACACTCAATGCGCACTAGTGCAAGCTGCCGAATTCACTATTAGAGATAGTTGCGCGCGCGCGCGTGCGTGTGAGAATATACATGATATAGCCGTATATAAGTACGTATAATTACACAAATACACCTATCTACGCGCGTACATACCGTGTCGGTCGGTATACGCCAGCTATCTCTCGGCCGAGTCCGGGTACTCCGACGATTATACATCATAAATCAGGAGATTGGCTTGTGGACAAAGGGAGGATGGGCGGGAAGAGGGAGGGAGGGGACGGGGGAGGGTTGGCTGAATGTTCTTCAAGAAGGAGATTCTAGCTAACGTTTGAAGCGTATAACCCAGCACCGTGTGTTTCGTTACCTACTTAAGTAAGACTATTATCGCAGTTGTACCGCCGACGAGGGGGGGAGGGTGGATGGGGTAAAGAGGGACGGGACAGAAGGGGGCGGTGTTTACTCGCGTGGTCACCCCGTGCGATCCCCGAGGGAGATCGCGGCGATCTGTCGGACGTTAGGAAGCTGAGAACGAGCCGCGCGTCGCGCGCTCGATCCCTCGACGCGATTATTATACTCTATTCTTATTATTATTATTATTATCATCATTATTATTATTAGTACTCGTTACTTTCCCATCGTTGCGATTTCCTACCTCTCGCATTGTCCCCGTGGATCGTGAAAAAAAAAGGGTGACTGTCGAACGGATTGCCGATTAATAATCCATCGAAGCCCGTCCCTTATAGAAATATCATACTAAGAATCATTGATAATTACTTATTATCCAGTATTTTTAATATTGAAAATAAGTAATTATCAATGATTCTTAGTATGATATTTCTATAAGGGGTGGCTCTGAGATACCTTTCAAGCGACTTTGAAGCTTTATCCTAGACGCATAACGAATGCTAAGTATAATGTCTTTTTGATTTCGGGTTCTTGAATATGATTTTTTCATACGAGCGTCACATGCACGGAGAAAATACTGTAGTAAAGATTGAAATTCTATGAAATAGAGTTAGAAGAGGTTGGTGTAGGTTTTTAGAGCATCAAAATAGATATTGGATGGAATAGTAAGATTGAAAGTAGAATCAAAATTACGACTCGGGAGCTGTCATCAAGTTTTATGATATACTTGTTACTTGATTTAGAAAGTTAGTTACTTGATCCTAATTATTAATATCCAATATTATATTTTGATTTAGTCTCACAAAACACACAAAGTATATGATGAAAAATAGTGTTAGTAAATATTTTGTAATTATTTCGAATTGGATTATTGCGGTTATTCTTTTACTATTTGTGAAAGACACGTGTCACTATACGTGTGTAAAGTGATGCGACACGATCGTGCGGCTACCAGCCGCAATCAAAGCAAAGCAAGCAAAGTCGCTAGACAGGCGTTGATGGATTAATTCGCGCAATAGGAACGGTCCCCGTAGGATAATTGCCCATATCAGTGTGCCTGTTTCTATTAGTCTGCCTTTCTACTTAAATAAGCCATAAAAAAGAAAACTAGCATAAATAAATAGGAGAAGTATTTTCTTAAGTTAATTTAAAGTGTTAAACTTAATAAAAAATACTTTTCCTATTAAGTTTAAGTTAGTTTTATGGCTTACTTAAATAGAAACTAATTAACATTAACTAACAGGAACAGGCACAATGATATGGACACCCTACCTTAGTTACCCTAATGGAGGTCCCGCCAGAATCTGCAGACCCACTCGCGCCTGAGATCGAGACTGCGGTATAATTCGCACGACGCCGCGTCTCGCGTCTCACGAGTGACGTGTGAAGAGAGTGGCGGTCTCTCGAAGTTCCGAAATTTCGGGATATTGCGACATCGGGCGAGATCTTGACGCGACGGACGGAGGCGATCCTCGCAATTGGGGCGATTCGGAATCCCCGCGGTTGAGCGTGTGTGCGAGTCCTTGAGAGCTGTCGGGCGCGAGGACGAAATCGTCAGTGAACGGCCGTGAGGGGGCCACCAGAGGGGGAAGTAGGACAACGTGTGTAATCGACGTAAGAACGCGAGGAAGAAACGCGGCTGACCAGCCGGCGCGAATAAGTGGATTTTGCAGCGATCGCGCAAGTCGCTACTGCGCGTCATTCTTGGCAAGATATCGATCATGCATAGAAAGTTCCGCCTGGGAGTGAGGCGAACGCAGCATCCATTTGTATGTACACTCGCGGCTTCAAATCTGGACCATGGATGTAGTAGGCTTTTGGTCTTATGTTCTAAGCTCAAAATTGTGGCGTAATTTTCGACTATAAACGTTTCCTACTGCCGCGTGATCCCCAAGTCATGATCCCCGGCTTTAAGCGAGTTGGCCAGATTCCAATTGTTAAAGCGGCGCGGAAAACGCACTTTGCCAGAAATTATAGATCTTAGAGCGTGAGACTAAAGGCTCACTACACCTATTATAGACCCGGATTAATATCTGAACATCTACTAAGTCTAGAATTGCTAGATATTTTGGACTAGCCCTGTGCCCTTTTCTACATACGCATTCATCGTGACGGTTGAGTGTGCGAGGAATCAGGAACGGTGTTCGAAAGCAGCCGTGATAGTCGGAGGTTTAGTTCGCGTAGAATGACGTTCTGTCCGCTCATGCGTTACAAATGATCAGCTGGAAAGTCATACTATGCACTGAAAGTATATTTAGAAAACCTGGACGTGTATGAACAGTAGATAAATCTTCCAAGAATCGTTCTAAAAAGAAGAACAGCGAGGAAATTGGAAGTCTAAATATAACACTCTTCTGCGTAATTATGCATAACGTATGAACGAATGGAAAACATCAATTTGCGCGAACTAAGACCCAAATTGTTGAACTATCACGGCTGCTTTCGAACGTCTTTCCCAATTTCTCGGATACTCAAAAATCATAATAAATGCATATGTAGAAAGAGACGCCGAGTCGAAATTTTATCTGTGCTCTTTCGACCTGAAACTTTCCAGCATCCGTGCATATGAAGAGTCTTCATTGAAGACTGAAATATTATTTAGTACCTCTAAATAGCAGAAGACGCAGAAAATGCCACCTGTAGGTTCTGAGAAGGATTTCTCTTCTCTGAACTGATTGATTTAGACTTCAGAGTATCGAAGTAGGAATATCAAGGGTAGAAATATCAAAGTGGAAATATCAGAGTATCGAGTGGAATATTGGAATCAAAAGTAGGGTCGAAATTTCGACTCGGGACACGGCTAGTCCAAAATATTTACTAACTGTAGATCTAATAATGTCTGTGAATGTACGTGTGTGTGCTTGGACATTAATGAAACCGCGTGCACAGCCGCGTGCACATACTCGATCAGAGGGAATGGGGAGGGGAGAACGGCCGTAGGTGAAGGAAAAGGAAAGGAGAAAACAGATGCGAGTGGTGCTCGCGATACGTCGTATCGTGACGCGACGGAATGGAGCAACATGCGAGAGCATGTTGGTAGTTGCACGAGAACTCGACTTTGACGTACTTCTTTCGCGATATATCCTTTAATCCTCCGAGCGGCACATATATACCTTGTTTCGCTACTAAGTGATGTGCTCCCACTCTGCGAAGTACTGCGCGCGCAACCTTCAGACAGCATCTTGAAGTTTCAATCTCGATCATAGTTATGACTCTGAACCGCTCGATCTCTCGGGGGTCTGATGTCTACATCTGTTAACGCGAAGGACACTCCGCTTCTTGATAAGAACGGGAATCAGTTCTCGATTAAAATGAAGGAAAGTTTTGTCGAGAAATCTTCGACGCGAGCAACTGAAACGTCCACTACTCGACGAATTAAAAAACATCGAGCTTCGACTTTGCGAAGAGACCGTATTGATAGTCGTTACTTGAAACTTACTCCACGTGAGATGCTCAGACCTAATTCTAGAATTAAACTTGAGTTCTTTGTTTGAATTATATAATGTATGCGACGTTCTCGTAGCGTAATCGCAATTCACTGGAAAACTCACATCTAACTCTTAAATCTGTACATAGAGAGAATTTCGTAGTGAAAATTGCTATAGAGTTTATATGGAAATTGCTGTAAAACACACACATATCGAGAAATAAATCGACGTTCTGGTTAACTGATTATATTTTCATATATGCTATTTATATCTCAGGAACAGAGTTATTAAAAAATTTGCTATGTCTCTGATGAAATTTACTATGTTTCTTAACGAGACAGACCCTACTGACAGACGATTCTTACACCGTTAGAAAGATAGTGAAATTGGAAAGTATTTACTATAAAAAAAGAAACTATAGTATTCTCTTTCTCTCTTCGTGTATTAATAGTCGTTACTTGAAATTTATTTCGAATGAGATACTCAGACTTAAATGTTGAGTTAAATGTGAATTTTTCAGTTGATTTGCAATTCTAAAAGCTCAGGTCTGACTCTAAGGCCTGCACTAATAGTTATTACGTGAAACTTGTCTCACGTGAGATACTCAGATCTGGATTTAGAGTGAAATTTGAGCTGTTCATTTGAATTATATAATATGTGCGACATTATATTTATAATCGCTATCTAGCTAAAAACTTACATCTATCTCTAAATTCAAATCTAAGTATCTCACCTGAAGCAAGTTTCAAGTAACAACTATTAATACTGACCTGACTATTTAAGAGTAAGACAAGTTTTAAGTAACGATTATTAACCCTTTAAGTAGTATACCAGGAAAAGTTCCATAAGAAAATATAAAATTTCTTCTGATTTACTGAAACTATTGTATTTTTTAACTCGTAGCAAATACAAATCAGATACATTTCGTATTCTATTTTTCAAAATTCTTAAAAAAAAATATAGAAAAGGGAAATCCAGATATGCTTATTTAAAAAAAAACCCCTAAAGGAAATCGCGCAGTCATTTTAAATCACTACTGAAAAGGTTAATACAAACCTAAATTGAAATCTGACTATCTCACCTGAGGTAAGTTTCAAGTAACGACTATTAATACGGATTGCCTGTATCATCAAGGTTCGTTTCCATCGATCCCCCGTGGAACCTTCGTCTCGAGATCAAGGAGTGTCGCCTCCGTGCGTAAAGAGAGCTCGAGGATAAAGACCGAGAGTTTACGATTCCGCCTGCTCAGATCTGCATCTCTGGCTCGGAATTGTTGTCGTGGAACCAATCCGAGGCCCTTTGACTTTCCGTCACGCGCACGCTGAGCTCCCTCTCGCTGTACCGGCTAGATCTCGCGATAGACGGGCCGAGGCCGGCGCGTCTGTGCTCGTCGAAGGAGGCGAGCACCTCCAGGCGGTCGCCCCGTCGAATCGCGCGCGGCGTCGTCTCCACCGAGCTGGTGCCGTCGTGCTCGGTCGCCCATTGCGGCAGATCCATGATGCCCGAAGGCATGCCCCAATGCTCAGTGAACTCAGAGCCCGACCTCGCCAAGCTGGGCTGGCTGAGCGATCTGACCAGAGAGTCCGCGCCCTCGAAGGAGCTCAAGCTGGTCAGATCGTCCCTGTCCACCCTGGCGAAGTCGCGCACCGTCATCTCGGACATTGACCTCAAGTCAGCCTCGCTGCCGGCTCCTCCGGCGCCGCGCGAGTGGATGGAACCGGCGAATCGCCGGGAACGGCCGACGCTCTGCGCCGTCACGGTCGTGGCGGACTGCGAGGCCTGCAGGTGGTGGCTCTGATTGCCCAAGGTACGAGCTGAGCTGCCGCCATCGCTCTCGTACTCGTACAGGGTGGGCAGAGACGATCGCCGGGACCTGTTGTCCCACTCGGACGACTTGGAGCGCTTGTACCGTTGTCCATGGTTCTTGCCGTGGCTGGAGGACGAGGTGGAGCCGGTGTGCGCCGACGGGGGCCCCAAGATCCGTATGATCACGTCCCACTTGGCGGGTGGGAAGAGATTCACGTATCTCGCATCCTTCCGTATCAGCTCGTAGTCCTCTTTCACCACCGCCTCCGTCAACAAGGTCCGCAACGTGCTCTCCGTCGTGATGATCTCGCGCCACTTGGCGCGCTCTTCGTCCGTCAGCTCGGAGGCGTAACGTGGCTCCAGCACGCGCGCCAGCCTGGTGTACCAGTCGGCGTCGGAGTCGTCCAGGGAACGACGCGTCGCCGACGGCGGAGGTCTGCAGGGTATCTCGGCGCGAGTGGTATACGTCGGCTCGATGTTGACATCAGGCTCATCGTCCATGACGGTGTCCGTCAGATGATTCGTCGGCTCGTTCGTGATGGTCAGGTTGGAGGCCGAGCTGACGTCAGAGAAGTTCTCCCATTCGGGCGGCGGCGGTGGTAAATCCTCCGTCGGATAGTTTCTGATGGTGACATCCCACTTGAGATCCGGTGGCGGCTGCGCTCTAGCGCGGTATTCAGTCACTTGACGGCAATGACGCTCCACGTCCTCGATGGTCTTCTTCTCCGTGACGGTTCTCAGGAACACGTCGTCCACCTCGTGGGTCGTGATCTCCGGGCGACGGGGTGCGACCACTTGCGGCTCCACCAACGGCTCGGTCATCTCGTCGCGCAGCAGACGGTGCTCGCGATGTTGAATAGCAGTGTGGGTCGTGGTGCTGGAGGTGGTTGGTGCGATTGGCGGCGGCGGGGGCGGAGTAGGTGCGAGAATACTCGCCACCCGGTACTTAGCGTGAGAGGCGTCTGTCACTTCGGTGAGCGAGCGGGTCTCAGTGAGCTCGGTATTGAGGGAGGTCAGGGATCTGGGTCGGCGAATCTCGTGATGTTGCAACGGCGGTTGCTCGGATACAGGCGAGGACAGTTTGTCTTGGATCACGGTGGTCTCCCTCTCCGCTTGCTTACGCAGGATCCTCGAGTAGACCGGCGGCGTCTGTTGCCGGGAAATGGTGGAGATGGACGACGCGCCTCCTGGTGGACCGTGAAGCTCGGGGACATAGGAGAAGGTCGTCATACGGTAAGGCGCGGTCTCCAGCGAGCGGGTGAGGCTGGACTCCTCTCTCTCCAGGATGGTCGTCAGGTTCCTCTCGAGGGCGACGCTCGCCACGTCCGATTCCGATGGCAGCGGACTCGGTGGCGGTGGCGGCGCACGCTTCACTCTCATCTGCACGTCGAACTTAGGCTCGATCGGCACGGCTACTGGATGACGTGGCACCATGATTCGAGACGCGTTCGCGGCCGTCATCGATGAGGTCTCCACCTCGGCGGCGACTGTCTCGGAATACAGGGAGCTCGAGGTGCGCATATCCACTTGTCGCTGATGCTGCACCTCGTGAACGAACGCCTTGTTGTCGTAGGATCCGGCGGAGGATACGGGTAGTGAGCGCTCCTCGTCGACCTGTACAAGCCCGCGGCAAAACCAATCGGTGTAATTAGTCGCGAAAATATCCTTATCTTTACTTGATGTCTCTCTGATTGAAGAATATGTTGGGAAAATATTCTCGATAAATGTTCGCGTTAGCTTTGCATAAGGTTTGCTCTTAATATTTTCACATAGAAGTAGACCAGTACATCAAATTATCTTTTCCTTTATCTGATGCTTCTTTAACTAAAGAATACGTTGGAGAAATATTTTCGATAAATGTTCGCGTTAGCTTTACACAGAGCTTGCTCTTAATATTTTCATATAAAAGTGGATCAATACATCAAATTAACTCTACCTTTATCTGATGTCTTTTTAACTAAAGGATATGTTGAGAAAATATTCTCGATAAATGTTCGCGTTAGCTTTGCATAAGGTTTACTCTTAATATTTTCACATAGAAATATATAGACTAAATTATCTTTTCCTTTATCTGATGCTTCTTTAACTAAAGGATATGTTGAGAAAATATTCTCGATAAATGTTCGCGTTAGCTTTGCATAAAGTTCCCTCTTAATATTTTCACATAGAAATAGACCAATATATCAAATTATCTTTTCCTTTATCTGATGCCTATTTGACTAAAGAATATGTTGGAGAAATATTCTCGATAAATGTTCATCATTTTTGCATAGGATTTACTCTTAATATTTTCACATAGAAGTGGATCAGTACACTAAATTATCTTTTTCTTTGTCTGATGCCTCTTTAAATAAAAAATATGTTAGAAAAATATTTTCGACAAGTGCTTCGCACAGTGTTTGCTCTCGATATTTTCCCGCAGAAATGAGTCGATACGCAACGTTCAGATCCAGAAAAGTGTTGCCTGAACGAGCTCGCGACAAATAAAGCGGCGAAAGCCCGATTGCAAAGCTCTCCTCTCGCGTTGCTCTTTGCAACGCGTTACAATTTATTACGATTATCTGTAGGCTAAATGAATTAAGATCCACGACGGAAGAGCTCTCGCGAGGGTTCGCGCGGCTCCTCACGCTAAAAGGATTAACGATCGCGCGCGAGCGACGCTCTCTCCTTTCGCATTCGCCCCAATGCGCCTCCGCGCAATCATCCGTCTTCTCGGGCAATTATCGGGACTCACCTCGGAGTGGCTCTCGCTCGGGTAGTCGCTCGGCAGCGTGTCCGAATGATCGATCACGAGATTCGCCTCGCTACCGGAAGTGGACGCCGCGGCCGCGTGGAGGAGGGCGTGCGCGCGGGGTATCTTCAGGCCCTCGAACATGGTGATGTTGCTGAGGGACGAGCCCGAGAGCTTCGTTATCTCGGAGCCGGTGCCGCTCTCGAACGGGTGCCGATGCACCACGCGCACGTTGCGCCGCTTCAGGCACATGTAGGAGCAGCCGAGGCCCAGCAGCAGCAGCGACAGGAACAGGATCGCGCAGATAATCAGCAGGATCTGGAAACCCTTGAGCGGCGGCTCGGTCACCGGCGCGGGCGCCATCGTGGCTGATCTGGGTACGGTCGGGCGAATCGAATTACAAAGGAAGAAAGAGAGATAGAGGAAAAAATAGTCGATTGCCGTCCAGGAAGCGTACAGTCTCGAGAGAAGCGCCAGTAGTTCGCGATGTTACACACAGAAAAATATCATTCTATCGCCTAGGAAAGCGATTGTTTACTTTCCTTCTCTTGAGCAGGGTTGGGTAATAACTGGTCTCAATATATCCGTCAAAAGTTAAATTAAAAAGTTAAAAACTTAATTTTAAATAAGTTAACTTCTTTTATTATTACAAAGTTTATGAGAGTTATTATCTTCTTAGGTCAGTGATTGTTTATGATTTCATTATAAAATAACGCTAACTGTAATATAACATTTAAAACTTTGAAAGAGAAATAATTTATCTTGATTCTTTACATGAAAGACTTATGACAACCAATCTTGGATATGAAGTAAATAGTCACGTTTGCACGACTTTGCTTACAACTTTATAACTTTGTTGTGTATAAATATTTATAAGGATAATCTTTTGTTTCTCTTACCTAAAGATTGTACCAATATGAAAATGTGCATTAAAAAATATTGCATATATTCTTTTTTTTAATCAGCACGTAAAAGGTGTGACGAATGGACCAGACCTCCTCTACTTATCACAAATTAGAGAAAGACTTATTATCATGCAGCCAAAAGCAGAATCTATTCTCTTTACAAGAATATCATGAAACTTTATTAAAGAAAATTTAGTGAAAAGTTTATTACACTCTGTGTAGTGAACAAACTGAATTGTTGTTTTAATTTAATAATCTCGACTGAAATGTTGAATGAACTAGGAGTTTAGAATGTATTTTGAATTGATGCTTATGACGAGCTTATGATAGATTTGCGAGTGTACAAGCTTTTACGAAACACTTGATATCAGTATCATATACTTGAAGGTGGTATGCATTTTTCTGTGTGTAGGCGAGACGTGTTACAGTTACTTACAGCGGTAAGCACCGCGCGCGCCTGCGATATCTCGCAGTTATTCCCGCGAGCATAACTGGATTGCGAGAAACAAAGGCGTGTACCGTCGTATAGAGCGCGCATCCGAGTACTTCGAGTACACGGTTACTCCTTATTCGCGATCTATTCGGCGCGATTACGCGAAGACGAGGTGGTGAACGCAAACTCGGCGATATTAGACGCAACCTTCGTCCCGGAGAGTTTGCCGAGTAATAGAGACGCGCGCGCCCCAATTTCGAAGGATTGATTATTTGTTAACATTATGCTGTTTACGAATAAAATGGATAATATGGTCTCGGTATTTTTCAGACATCTTTGACGTGGACTTCCTATTTTCTTTTTGCGAATTAAATTATAGTGTTTCTATTTATTAAATTAGTCACAATCGAACTTTAAACGTCCTACTTTTTTTTTTATGAATTAAGTTGTAATGTTTACGAATAAAATGGATAATATCGTCTCGGTATTTTTCAGATATTTAACGAGAACTTTTGCGAATTAAATTATAGTGTTTCTAATAATAAAATTTAATTTAACCGGCTCTGGGAAATACAAATTAATAATAACAAAAGCAAGGACAATAAGAGCCAAAAGCAGGTTTTAAGCGCCAACAATTACATAAATCAATTTAGTAATTTATTTTCCGAACGTTTCGACCATTGGATGTGACCCTCTTCACGCGATTGTCGATTATAAAAATGTCAATAAGGAATGGTCGCAATAATTCTCAATTGCCATTAACAGTGTGGAAGTAAACCATTATTATTGTCACATCATTGTTCGCTAGCAAGATATGACGAAAGCAGAGTTCCATCAACCCAACAGTGAAAAGTCAACAAGCCGAGTTTGGACTCTGTCGTGTTTTTGGCCTGTTGACTGGTGGGTTGCTGGAGCTCTCCTTTAGTCATATCTTTGCTAGCGACCGATGATGTGACAATGATGATTTACTTCCACACTCTTAATGGCAATTGAGAATTATTGCGACCAATTCCTTAATGATATTTTTAATCGACAATCGCGTGAAGAGAGCCACATCCAATGGTCGAAACGTCTAAATTGATTTATATAATTGTTGACGCTTAAAACCTGCCTTTGGCTCTTATTGTCTTTGCTTTTGTTGTTATATCCATAGAAGGAGGAGGGCGTAACTAGGGAGTACTAGCTGGCGGTGGAATCGTGCGTTCGAGATCTGCGTATCTTTTCGTTCCAGACGAAAGTCTGGAAAGTTTCTTTTTTTTCCAGAGAAAAATATCGAGAGCGCGGTCTTGCTAAGACCGGGACTCGAACCCGGGTCTTTCGCTTGCCGGGCGACTGCTCTAAACCACTGATCTACCTGACGCTCCACGCTCACGACACTCTCCTCTTCCTAGATAACGCTCAGAGATGCTGTTCGGAAGCGACATCTCTGGCGAGATCCCGAGCGCACGGCGACTACAGAGAGAAACAATGTTACTGTATCAAATGGTACAGCTGTCAGGGTGCCATTACATGAAGCGCGGAAACACGGAAACTCGGAAGACAAAATCTTACTAGATCCGCTACGCGTTCCGCGTCTGTTTTGATTACCTTATATTACATGAGGCATATTTTGAGCGGAAAAGCGGTGTAGGAAATTATAAAATATTAATTTTTAACGGTATTTATTAATTAAAATGCTTGTATTCGACAGATAAGCTGAAAAGATAAACATATTAGTAAAAATTGCAATAAATTAAGTTAATACAATTTTAAAAAATGAATACAGATGTTTATTTGTCACCAAACCGTTCTGCTTTTCCGCGCAAATTGTGCTCCATGCATAATATAAGGAGAAATAAAGTCGCGGAACAAGCGCGGGAAAATCCATTGTCACAAGTTGTCACAAGTTATCACAAGTTGTTCAATCCAACCGCCGTTACATTAAGACGTGTTCAAACACATTCGGATCTGATATTTTTTTGGAATTCATACCTTGGATGAAAAGACAATAGAGAAAAGTTTTGAGCTTTCCGCTTTTCCGCTTTTTCAACGTACGGGAAGAAATGATTCAATTCGCGGAACGCGGAAATCTAGTAAGATTTTGTCTTCCGCGTTTCCGCGCTTCATACAATGGCATCCTCAGTCTCTCAAAATCAAAGGTTGCGTAAAGAAGGTCACATCCAATGGTCGAAACGTTCGGAAAATAAATTTCTAAATTGATTTATGTAATTGTTGGCGCTTAAAACTTGTCTTTGGCTCTTATTGTCCTTGTTTCTGTTATTATTATAGTGTTTCTATTTATTAATCACAATTAAACTTTAAACGTCCTATTTTCCTTTTACGAATTAAATTATAGAATAAAATTGCGAATAAAATTAACACAATACTCGATATTTAGATATCCAACTCGATATTTATATATCTAACGAGGATATTTTATCTTACTCTCTTTCTCTTCCTCTTGTTTCTTACTCGTTTTTGTAAATTATATTAATAGTATGAAATTTGATTTCCCGCGACGTCGAACGGTAGTTGGTCGCGTTAACTTCGTGTAATTTAGCGATGTAACAACACCGTAATCAGTGGTTTTCTCGCAGAAACGGGAACGTCCACGAGATCGCGCAAGAGCGGCGGCGTGTCCTCGGATTGTAACGGGTACTTTATCGAGTGGTACCATTCGTCGCGATGAGATACTATGAGAAAGTAATTATAGCGAAGTAATCTCATTAAATAAATCACCGTCGACCTTTGAAGACGGGATATCATGGAGTTTATGTTATGTCACATGAGACTGTTAACGAGAAAACGACTGCTCTCGTCGTTCATTGTATCACGTTGGTGGCAGAAAGTATGTCGTGTTTGTCAGACAAAATAGAAAACGAAATTATTCAATTCAATTATCCAAAGGATCAATTATTTAACATTATAATGTTTACGAATAAAATGAAAACAACATCGCCTCGGTATTTTTCAAATATCTAACGAGGACTTCTTCTACTTTCCTCTTTTACAAGTTAAATTATAATGTTCCTATTTAAATTAAATTAATTATAATTAAATTTTAAATGCCCTATTCCCCCCCCCCCTTTGCAAATTAAATCGTAATGTTTACAAATAAAATGACAACACATCTCGGTATTTTTTACACATCTAACGAGGATTTCCTATTTTCCTTTTAATGAGATTTAAATTGTAATTTTCATATTTACTGAATTAATTATAAAATTAAATGATAAAGTTCCTATTTTCTTCTTGCAAATTAACTTTTAAATTATAGTCTCATGAATAAAATGAACACAACATTGATTCGGTATTTTTTTTATGTAGGCATCTAACGAGGACTTCCTGTTTTCCTTTTAACATTCACATTTCTCCGCGAGAATTTAATGGAAAAGTGGCATCTTTCTTTTGCACCGACCTAATACTTTCGCGCAGGACCAAATTGTAATTTTCATATTTACTGAATTATAATTAAATTATAAACTTCCTATTTTCTTTTTTGCGAATTAACTTTTAAATTATAGTCCACGAATAAAATGAACACAACATTGACTCGGTGTTTTTTTTTTTATATAGGCGTCTAACGAGGACTTCCTGTTTTCCTTTTAACATCCACATTTCTCCGCGAGAATTTAATGGAAAAGTGGCATCTTTCTTTTGCACCAACCTAATACTTTCCTAATACTTTCCTAATACTTTCGCGCAGGCCCATATCCGGTAATAAACTTTCCGCAGTGAGGATTTTAACAAAGAACTCTTACATGCTGGCTGGCGGCGCGGGAGGTATCGGCGCCACGGGTGGAGGATATCTGCAGACTATAGTGATAACCTCATCTCCGTCCATCTCTAATCCGGGGTGGAAGCGAACGACCACATTGTTGGTGAATACGCGAAGCGGATCTTGCTTGGTGCCGCATCCTGAGAAATAGAGATTATTTTGCGCGCGCGATGAAAAATCTGTTCCCGTTGGAATTGCAGGGGGAGGGAGGCGTTTGAATATTTCAACCCTTCATCGTAGCTGAATCGAAGATAACAAAATCGCGCAATCAGACGCCGAAAATTACGTCGATATTTCTGTACGTTTTTTTGTATTTTTTTTTTTTAATCTATCTTACACTTCGTTATATTTTTCTACTATATATTATATCTTCCAACTCTCTTTTTCTAAATCTCTCCGAACAAGATTTCACTGGGAAAGTAGAATGACAGCCGAGTCATTCGAACTTGAGTGATTCTTCACTCACATAGAGTGGATTTTCCGCTCTGAATCGTCGACTGAATATTTTCATTCGAAATTGAAGAACTGATTTATTGCAACGTTACAGGAACGAATTCACCTCAAACGATTGAACATTAATTTGTATGAAGTCAGGATCCATTTTTAAGGGAGAAACATCCAGTCAATGTTGGGAGTTAATCGATTAAAATTTTAGTTGATTAAATTAACCGGAAAATCAGTAATCAAAATTAAAATTTCATATACATTTACTATTATATAGTTATATAGTTATATTTCATGTACGTTTACACATATATTGTACATGCATTTTTATACAGAAAATATAAATTTTAGCATATTTTTTAAATCTTTAGTGACTTTTTTGGGACTATACAGATAATACGACCTTAATTTTGATGATCGAATTGCCAATTTTTTTAGTCAAATAAAATTTTAATTAACTAATACCCAACATTACACTTATTTTACGATTTTTAGTGGCAATACTTTTATTATTGCTTTGAGTGTGAATTCTCGTCCGTTTGACGTGAGATTTTGTTGCAAGAAATTTCAAGAAAAAGGCGAATTTCAATTGAATTCGGTACAAGGACGTACCCTTCAGAGGTAGCTCCAATTTGGCTGTGGTCGCGCCTCGTCCCTTGAATATGCAGGCGCTGTTGCGATCAAAGTCGGCGTAAGCCACCCCGTAGAACGGCTCCTCGAACTTGAGATCGACCTCCATGCTACCCTGTCCGCAGTTGAGATTGGCCTTCGTTCGATTCAGGAATATAATCGATGAGATGTCGTCCAGCTTGGTGACCTTGCCGTCGAGGACTGTGCTCGGCGGCAGTCCCGGCTGATACTCGATGCTGTTGCCCTGCGACGCATAGTTGCTCTGGGACAACGCAATCGGAATTGCCGCCCAGAGCAGCGCTAACAGCTTCGGCAGCATCTGCGGCAAGAAAAGTTGACGATAATTTTCCGGACAGGGAAAACCAAGAGGGAAAATCAGGAACGCGAGCACGGATAACACGAGAGAAAATCGTTACGAGATATTACGATGATATATCGTTCTCGCGGAGAATAATGACGACGGTGTAATTAGCCGCGGGCGCGCGCTCATTCGTCGAACAAAAAATGCTGTCTCGTATGTTGGAAAAATTCGTGGCAGAATTACTGAATTTGCGCTCGCGCACATTATTTCATCGTCGAATAATCCCGCTGAAAAGCGATAATATTTTTACATGAGAAAGAGAGAGAGAGGAAGAGAGAAAATATTAGAAGAGAAAGATAATTTATTCCTTAAATTAATATCATTCCTTTAATTAAAATAATACATATATGTATTATAATAATATTACATATTATTATAATAAATTAAATTATAATATATATAATATATAATATATAATATATAATATATAATATATAATATATAATATATTAAAATAATAATATATAATATATAATATATTAAAATAATAATATATATATTTGTCATAAATAATACATATATATATAAATGATTAAAAAATAAATATTTAAAAAAAGGATTTAAAAGAATGCATAGAATATCTAGTACTCATTAAAGTGAGTAAAAAATACTTGAACATAAATGGAAAAATCTACTTTTTTTAAGTTAAAAGTAATATTCGATTCTAATGATGCATATGCTTGCTTATATGTTACATCATATCTACATCATATTTACATATGATGTAAAAACAAAAAATCTTATAACTGTATAATTATGTAATTGTACGTTGATGTGTAATCACAGATCGCAAGTGATTTTTCGACTCATGTTTATTGAATATTTTTTACTCAGTTTAGACTTAGTACTGTCTATCCTTGAGTCTTGAATTTCTTCTTTCAATACCCTGTATATATGTAGTTAACATATCGACATATATGGACATATATCACGATGGACATCAATTTTGTTATCACGACATTATACGGTCGCAATTAGGGTAATTGATGCGATAATGAACTTTAATAACAAATGCGACATCGCATGAGCAATATGCAGTACAAAGATCGAAATTATCGTTTTCTCAGGTATCATCCGAGAGGCATAATTGAGACTGGAAGCGACTGAGGCATTCACGTTCCCACGAGCGACTTCCAGAATGTGAGTTTTCCATTGTATATTTACAGCTACGTCATTGTTTGTATGCATCCATCGACTCACATGGGTCGGCACACACGCAGCGCGTATTACTTAATACGTTGTGCGTCATCGCGTTCTCCGCTACAGGGTATGTCAGAAATCGCCAGCGTTTTTTTCTTATCTCGAATTACGAGGAATAAAATCAAGAAAACAATACCGGTCATTACCGAATTTCAAGTCAATATCTAACATTTAAAAAGTAGAAAAAAGTAGAAAAAAATAATATTGATAATAGAATATTTATTAAGGGTAAAATTCAAGCTTTTCTTAGAGAAATTACGATTGAGAAAAAAATTTCGAAATCAAAAGAATAAGATCAGTTCAGTTGACGTTTAGACTAAATGTTTTCAGTTGACAATTGAATTTTCCATTTCCAGTTTAACTTTTTCAATTGACAATTAAACTGAAAATAGAAAATTTTAGCTAATTTTTAAGTAAAATTTTAACATTTTATTAAAATTAAATTCAGAATTAAAATTTTAATACGCGATTTAAGAAATTAAATTGGGAATTAAAATTTTAATCTTAAATTTGAAAAATTCAACTGGAAATGGAAAATATCTCTTTAATATCACTTTATAAATAATCAACTTTTATTTGCTTTTTCAACTCTCCAAATTTTACCTAATTTTTACTTCTCAGTGTTTCCCGACCCCTAAATTTCTACCTCGTCGGAGAAGCCAGTGATTGAGAAGAAAATCGCTAACGACTTCAGATAGACCCTGTACATTTCGAGTAGACAACTACTCCTCTCTCGAGCTGATCCATGAACCTCTTCTATTCAACCAGAACGGAGAAAGCCGTTACCCGTCGCGATATTTCCTTTAACACAGATAAGTGCGGATTGTGATCTCCGATTCCCCTCTCTCGGTGCACCGATATAATCTCGATCGCATCGGGATCCCGCTACCACACGGTAAGATTAACTGTCCGAGGAGTTAGAGAGACGAGTAATTGCGTCGTACGGTAACTCTCGTAATAATTTGCATATTACATGAGAGACTACGTGCTCTCCCACCCTTCCTCTCTCTTTCTCTCTCTCATGAATTACGAAAATAAAAACGACACGGTTATAATGATACGTGAAATGATTATATCCGGACAAACCGCGACCTCCCGAGCTCGCTTCGAAATACTGTTACGTCTGCCGCCGGTAATTGCGCTAAGCAAACGTACAAATTATAGGCATTACTACTCGTGCATGAAAGTATTGCGTTGCCTTCGCACGCACGCTCACGCCTGCCATCTAATACGGCTCGCTCGTAGGGATGGACGGCGTCACGTTGTCGTAAACGCTGTCAGACGATGATATTCCCGACGATAATGCATTCGCGCGGAAACGCGTGAATCATTTCGCTCGTCCGATGCCTTCGTCGTCCTCGTTGCTGGGGGAATTCGCGGCGCACATTACCGTACGCTGCAAGACTGGACGCTAACCGGCGAACTGTTCGCCGTTCGTTGCTCACCGCTGTTTAGTAGCGCGTGAGAAAACCGCGAATAGTTAACGTCCGGTAACTTTGACCACCGGTTTTGTCAGCAGCACGAAAACATTTAGTTTGGAAAATCATCATCGAACAGATTCGCACTTTTGCACACTTGCATCCGCCTCCTGTTGAGATTCTATTTGCCAGGAAAGAAATTCAAAGTCCAGGTTGGATTTTCTCAGGAAAAAAAATCATTTTTTTCAAACCAAAGACACAACAATATTCGAGAACTTATTTCAAAAGAATTACTAAATAAGTGTTAACTAATTACTAATTAAGTTTTAATATTGTGTAGATAATTAATTAATATTTGTATGTAAATAAAAAAAATTTATAATTATCTTTTGTGATGTCACAGTATCCATTGCTACATAGTCTAATAATAAATAGTCCAATAGAAAAAATAATAATAAAAGTTTCTTATAAAATAGTGCTGTACTTGTAGTTTCTCAGGAATTTTTATTTCCAAATAATTGAACTTTTTGGCTCATTTCAAAGAAGAAATTAAAATTTTTCGTTGAAATTTGCATATATGTTATTTTAAAAATGGAAAACTAAAAGTAAAAATTCTGAGACTGTAACTACAACACTATTCTATAAAGAAACTTTTTTCATTTACTTATTATTACTAACTTTTAGAAATTACTTAATTATATATATAAAATTTATTTAGTGGTTCTTTTTTTAAATAGATTCTATATAATATATAATATATAAATATAATATATAATAATAAAATAGATATTGTGTGTTGCTTTTTGGCCTGAAAAAGTGATTTGCGCATTTGACTAGAGATTATTAATAATAATTCTGTGGTACGAAGAAAGAAACCTAGATACCTCCGTTCACCAATATTGATTACGTTGATAGTGCGAAAGAATGTTTGAAAAATGACACCAAAAATATTCTTATAATATAAAATTTCACTTTTTTAATATAATAAATAAATATTTAAGAATTGCATTCCAAAACGTTCTTTTTAAGGGACATTTTTCTCAATACTCTACAGTATATGTAACGTGAACTATAGAGTATTGAGTAAAATTTTCCTCAAAAAGAACGTTTTGGAATGCAACTATGTAACAATTTCATCACGCGAGAAAAGAAACATTTGATAACTCTGCCTGTCAAAGATAGTCACGTCGGCAGCGCGAAAATATGTTTGAAAAATCAGCGACGGAAATAATTGCAGGTTTGCCATGTTGGATTCACCTTTCTGGCGCTAAGAGTTCGATTCGCCAAGAATGTGTATCCTTTCGAAATTATTCGAGTTCAAGTGAGATTTTAATAGATTTTAAAAACTGTACGTTGATTTAAATGTGAAAACTTTATCTAAATGGAGAGTTCAAAGAGATATTAAGTTATTGTTTATTAAGATCAATAAAATTTAATCGTGTACTCTACAATAGCATCGAATCTGAAAGATGTGCGAATGTTTGGATCTCTTGGAGATCCAAACTACTAATGTTATCATAGTTTTGCGCGAGAAGAAGGTGAGAGTCCGCTCGAGCGACTAATCATCGGGTACTGGGTAATAGATAATTTTATGTTAAAAACACACAAATAAGAGGCGGAAAGTCCGGTTGGGCATGTAACGTACGCGTCCTACTTAAACGAACGTTTAACATTCTCCGCGATTACACGCGAGCGACAACTCGAGCACGTCAGGAGACGGCTATCAGCTGGCGTTAAAAGTAAAAATAGAGTCGGTCGGCGATCATTTACATAGCCGATAGCCTGATCCAAAAAAATTGCCGCGCGCGATTTAACGGCACACCGAGGCTACATAACTCACGAATAATCGACTGAAGTGACGGATTGGATGGGGCCGTTTGTTATGGCGCCAAATATCGCGCGTCGGATGAAAATAGTTATATTACCCAGTTAACTGCAACTTGCGCTATATATAAGCCACGTCGGTAGCGATTAGCAAAACTCCTCGAGACACGCGATGAGTGTTATAAATTATGGTGGAATAACAAATGTACCAGTATAGACAGTAGGCCGAGTTCATTATTTTTTTTTCAACATTCAGAAAATATCTAGAAAACGATTAATTATGATATAAAAAATATGTAAAAAGCAAAGTTTTTTTTTATAAAGCTTTAAAAGTCTATTTAATAGTAATAATAGTTTGACCTTGGATTCTTTAACATCATATGGAGGTCAATTGAATTTTTTAAATGAGAATACTTATTTTTCGTCGCTGATTCTTGTGTTATTGAGATATACTTCTTACATAAATCCATATAATAACATAATAATAACAACATATTGTGCTTATTTATATCCGTG